TATATGTATATATATATACATACACACACACACATATATATATATATATTCTAATGCTTCTCACCATCTGTTGATTTGTGTCATCAACTGAATTGTGCCCTCTTTGAAATTCATTTGCTGAAACCTTAAATTCAATGGATCTATATTGGAATTTTAATGATACAATTAAGGTTAAATGTGGTCAGAAGTGTGAGAACCTAATGCAATAGACGTGCTGTCTTTATAAGAAGAGGAAGAGACACCAGAGACCTCTCACTTTTCACGTGCACGCAGAGAAGAGGCCATGTGGAGATGCAGTGTATTAGAAGGTAGCCCAGTCCTGCCAGGTAGAAGCCACACCAAGAACCAACCCTGCCAGGACCTTGATCTTCAACATTCAGACTTCAGAATTGTAAGAAAATCAATATTTGTTGTTTAAGCCACCCACTCCGTGTTGTCTTCTTATGAAGACCCAGACAGACTAATACCACATAACTCATAACTCTGTTAGCGCTGTCCCCTGGATGGAGAATCAGCCCCCTGAAGCTGGTCACATCTCTCAGATTTCTACATAAAGTAGGCAAAAAATGTAGCTGTGATACAAAAACTTGTCATGTCCCTGTTGACCAATTTCTGGGCAAAGTGTTTTAATGAAGCCCTTGGGGCTTTGTCACAAAAGTTGTCTTTTATCTTTTCTGAAGACCTAACTAATGGACAATGGGTACCAGCTGGATGGAGACTGACCACTGACCATCTTCTGCTGTCTCTTTAGTATGCCACAGAAAACCACATCAACATCACTCTATGTCTTCAACTTTCTAAATTTGCACTGAATGTCTTGCTAAATGAGGAACTACATGAGGTCTGAGTTTCGTTCCCTTCTTCCCTGTCTTCCTCAATTACCAAGGGCAGAAGAGGCTTTCAATGAAATTTGGCTGTCGATGCCCCCAACACATCACTTTTTAGGTCCAGGAACTTTATTTGGGCGGATAGTGAAATACACTTTTAAATGGAAAGCCCTAAAGCACATAACAACAGCTGAAGGAATGGCCACTTTACACCTGAAGGCTGATGAGGAAGATGGTAGGGTCCCTTCCTCCAAGATGGTCCTGGGTGTCTGATGGTTGGATGCCTCATGCATATGGAATTAAGGACTGGACTGAAGTAGAAACAAGGGCCACATCCCATAGGAAAACAAGAAAAAAAAAGGAAAACAAGATGCCATCTGGGCATCCGTGAAGACAGTTAATTAAATTTGTTGAGTTTAAGATGAAATTTTTTTCCAAAATTTTTAGTGTTCTTAGCTAAATATTAATCTTTTCAACAAACTGAGAATTACAAGGAGAATGGAGTTAGAAGTTGAGAGAGAAAAGTACTGAGAGAGCAGAAAGAAAATTCACACAAAACTGTCACATGGCAGAGGCCAGAATGGAGCTGATGCAGCAATGTCATTATTCTGCAGACTTAGTTGATGAGACCCTTTCGTATTTAAGGCAGGCCCAACGGTGAAGAACTCCTTTAGTTTTTGCTTCTCTGGGGAAGGTCTTACCTATCCTTTATTTTACGATAAGATTTACATGGTAAAATTTCTTGATTGGCAGAGTTTTGTTTGTTTTTCATTCTTTTTCCCCCCAGCAATTTGAATACAGTCATGGGCTGCCTAACAATGTTTCAGTCAACAATAGACCACATATATGTTTGTGGCCACATAACATTGTAATACCATATTTTCACTAAGGATATTCCATATTTAGATGTGTTTAGATAGAGAGATACTTACCACGGGGTTTCAGTTCCCTGCAGTGTTCAGTGCAGTAACATGCTGTACAGTTTAGTTGTCTGGAAACATTGTGCAATTCCACATAGTCTGTGTGTAGTAGGATATTCCTTGTAGGTTTGTGTAAGTTCTCCCTATGATATTTGCACAATGATGACGTTGACTGGAAATACATTTCTCAGAAATAATCTCTATCACCAAACCATACATCATCGAATGTAATTCCTCTCCATTCTGACCTGAAAATCTTCTGCTGAGAAATCTGCTAAATCTGCTCTTTTTCTTTCTGTTTTCAAAAACCTTTCCTTTAGCGATGTGGTTTCAAACTATCTCTGATTTTTCTCATTTGGTTTACCTTATTTAAAATGTATAGAGCTTCATGGATGTAGATGAATATTTGCTTCTCCAGATTTAGAAAGTTTCTATGCTATTACTTCTTTAAAAATCCTTTCTGCCTCTCTCGCCCTGTCTCTCTCTCTCTGTCTCTCTCTCACCCTCTTCCTTCACTACCCCTTTTGTCTTATCTTTGCATAACTCCTCAATGCATAATTTCACTTCCACTGTGCTTCCTGACTCATAAGTCTTTAACTCTTTTTTATTTCTTTTATTTAAGTTTTTCTTCTCTGTCTCTACTATTTCAAATGATCTTTCTTTGAGTTTACTGTTTCTTCTATTACTTGATCTAGTCTGGTCTAAAATCTGCTTAAAAATTTTGTCTGACTTATTGTATTCTTGAGCATCAATATTTTTGTTTAGTCATCTTTTAAATGTTTTATCTCTATTAAAATTCTTGCATTGTTCTTGTGTGATGCCACTAGCTCATTGAACATATTTCTAACATTTACTTTAAATTTTCTGCCAGGTAATCCATATGCTTCCTTTTCATTGATGTCAGTTTCTGGATCTTTATGTTGTTCTTCTGTTTGGACCATGTTCCCCTCCTCCTTCATTTTCCTTGACTGTCTTTGTTGCTACCTGTTCATTATAACAAAAGCCACCATACACTCTTCAAAGACGAGGTTTATAGAGATCATCCTCACAAATCAGTCCAGGTAGTAATTTGGGTTTCTCAAAACTTCATAGTATTCAAACTTCTGTCTCTATTCTTAATGGTTCCCAGGTTTTAGAGGATGATAGACTCTTCCAGTAGTCATAGATAGGGGAGGTAGAAACTATTTACTCAAGCAGCCGCTAGAAAATTTGGACCACTGGATAAAGTTTTATTATTGATGTATGATTCATCAAAATAATGTTAGTTCAAGCTTCTCTCAACCAGTCATTAAACATTGAAATTTTATCATTTCTTATTTGAATCTGGGATTTATTCTTTGAATATTTAGGTAAAATTACAAACTAGTTTAAATCTGCCTATTTGGCAAAATGATCTGCTGCAGAATTTTTATTTTCTGTGTTACCTCTTTTTGCATTTAAATCTAAGTCTGTATTAGACATGCATCCAGAATGTGGAAAAATGTCTTAAAGTTCCTTAATTTATTTAATTTAATGGGGTTTCCAGAAGATGTGAAAACCTCCTTTGTTTATCAAACACCTGACTATCGGTCAATAGTTTTCTCTTTAATTTTTCTCTCTCCTCTCACATTATCTATAATAAGCAAGGAGAAATGAGGCACACCATCGACAGTTTGCTTAGATATCCCATCAGCCAAATTTCTAACTCTCACAAATTCTAACTTCATCCAATGTAACATAAGTAAGATAAATTCTATAACAAGGTATACATAGTTTCCAGTTCTAATACCACGTTTGTGACAGAAACAAAGCAGGTGTGCTCTCTGCGAGGTGGTCATCTGAGGTCTGAGACGAGGGGTCACACAGGTATTTTTATGATATTTAAGGGATTCGGCAAAAACAACAATAACAATTCTGATCATCACTGGCTCTTACCGGAAAGTTTACAGGTAAAGTTACTGCTGTTATTTCATTTTAACACCCGGTTAGAATGAAGCCCAGAGGAAGAGGCCACATCCCAGGTCACACAGTGAGGAGGAATGGAGCTGTGCTCTGCTCTCCACACTACACACAAGGTCCCAGGCACGAGCCCAGGTTCCACTGACACGTGGCATCTAGAGGGCAGTTCTCAGGGTATGGTCTTAGTGCACCTGCTTCCTGGGGCAGGGCACTTCCTTCTCTCAGTTGTGCACTTGCTCCTTCTGCCAGCTCTGAAGTGACCACTTGCAGTGCCATTAATTAATCATATTCTCTCCCTTATTATGGCAAAAAGCATATTTATTAAATTTTCAATTCATTTTCTCTGAAGCACACTGTGTTAGCAGAAAGGAATATATCACATTCCTTCACCTCCCCCACAGCCCAAGATTCCTGAAGACAGAGCCGATGTGATGTACTCATAGGTAGATCTCCGCTCCACGGAGGTGGCCTTGGTCTTCAAGTTTCAGCAATTCTGGGAAGCCAAGGACACCTCCATCTCCTCCTGCCTGCTCTGCAGCTCACCTGAGAACAGCTTTCTCATTGGAATATCATCCTTTTAAGGAATAAAAGTCCCTGCTTTAGGTTTGGGGGCCTGAGTTCACCTACTGGATCCAGCCCAGGACTGGAGATACTTTCTAGAACAAAACTTCACCTGAGACATGTCCAGTCACACTGTTTTACTTTCACAATTTCAGCTCCCTCAGAAGAAAATTAAAATTGCTGAGACTTTTTCATAAACGTTGTGCCATGTCCTTTTTCTGTTTTCTTGCCTGTTCATTTATGTCCAACCAGGTGCCGCATCTATGTAATCAGGTTAGAATCCTGCTTCCAGTAACACATGAAGAGGACCTTTGATTGTACTTTTGGTCTTTGCTCCAAAATATAAAGATTACAAAAGTCATCACCTCATTCTTACGTCGAGAGGCGTCTGCACAATCTGATCTTCAATACCTTTGGGAATTCATCAAAGGAATGAAATTCTAATCAAAAATTTCCCACTCCCAAAACTGGAAAGACAGGCATGTCCAGAATGGCAGTTGGCACTTGCTTTACTGGAACAGAAGCCACAGAAGAATATACACACACACACACACACACACACAAACACACAAACACACACATATCTGTACATATATACATACATACATATATGTACATAAATACATATATACACATACATATACATATATACATGCATATACATACATATATATATATAAACAAGCTGTTGAGGGCACTTACATGTTAAGCACTACAGACGTCTGAAAGACAGATGTGGACTATGGTGAAGTGACAGTTCCAGAGGGCCGTACGCGCCTCAGTCTTCTGGACTCTCCCTCCAGAAACCTCCAGATTCGAAAACATACAATCCAAATATGTTTCCTGTGGATCAGAAGTGGGGAAGTTATAATTACTGAAAACTGTACCAAGAGCCTTCTCCAAAAGATCCTACAGGGAAGAACTTTTCCAGCACCTTGTCCTATGTGAAGAAAGACAAATCTGCCATTCCAGATCCCTCCCCCATTCTTCCATGATTGTATGAAGATGTAAGTAAATAGTGCATAGACAGGTAAGATGTAAGCAATTAGTCCAGGTAAGATGTAAGCAAATCCAGGCAAATAGTCCAGGGAAGATGTAAGCAAATAGTCCAGGGACACTGAAACCACAAAAGGCAGTAAAGATTAAAGTTGAGCTTTTCCTGTGGAGACGCCTGGTCAAGGTCACAGCCACTGCAGAAACCTCATTGCAAGGAAAGGCTGGGCTGGAGGGGGCACTCAGGAGCCACCAATCACAGGTTCCAACCCCAGAGCAGGTGTACAGAAGGATGGGGAGGAAGTTTCCTCTTCCTTTGTCAACAACAACAAAGTCTTCCTTTGTCAACAACAACAACAACAACAAAAACTGTGTGTTCAACAAGTTGCTGATGTGCCTTTAAATATTCTGTTACATCAGAACCATTCATATAATTTAAGGCAATGTGAACTATTTTTAAAGTGGGTTTCTAAGACTATAAATATCTTAATAGTGATGATATAAAGGATAGGAATAGTTTTACTAATTGAATGGATACAGAATTGTGGGAACCACTGTATTCCTACGAATAAAAAGGTCAGATTTCAGTGTTCAGTAATGTTGCCTCCATTGTGCATTTGACAGGACAGTGATGGATCTGAGAGTGTGGCAGGTACACAGACACAGTGAGTCAGAAACCAATATGTGAAGATGAGGATCTATTGATATGAACTGAAAGTACATAAAAACTTCATGAAATTCTATTAAATGGAGTAGGAAATAAAACCAAGATTTATTCAAAACACAAATTCCTTGACAATTATTTTTGGAGTAGCGAATTCACAAAGAACTCCAAAGTTCTTGGCCGGGCGCGGTGGCTCAAGCCTGTAATCCCAGCACTTTGGGAGTCCAAGACGGGCGGATCACGAGGTCAGGAGATCGAGACCATCCTGGCTGACACGGTGAAACCCCGTCTCTACTAAAAAATATGAAAACTTAGCCGGGCGAGGTGGCGGGCGCCTGCAGTCCCAGATACTCGGGAGGCTGAGGCCGGAGAATGGCGTGAACCCGGGAGGCGGAGCTTGCAGTGAGCTGAGATCCGGCCACTGCACTCCAGCCTGGGCGACAGAGCGAGACTCCGTCTCAAAAAAAAAAAAAAAAAAAAAAAAAAGAACTCCAAAGTTCTCTTCCATCTTTTGATTCCTATTGTCCATGAGATGAGAAAATCAACTCTAATTATGAATCACAGGGCAAATCTGTAAACCAAGGGTGGTTCTGTTGAAGATCCTGGTGGATCAGTGTCAGGCAGGTGCCGGAGACACTGTCTCAGGAGTGCCCAGAAGATCTTAGAGGGACCTGCTGGACACTCACGTGGGACATCAGCACTCACTTTCTCAGAGTCAACATGAGCTGTGGCTGATGCCTGATGGGACCAGGATGGGGTTAAGGCATCTGGTCAGTGTCATAAAGAGTGATGGTTCCAGAAATCATCCATGTGGTCTCCATGCTAATCAAATGTGAGTTCACAGTGAGGAGCATGTCCTCTGGGTGCTTGCTTTTCAGTGAAAGGACGACTGGCCACAAAAAGTTTGTAAATGGAGTACAGCATCCATTTCTTCAAGCAGGATTAGTGCTTGGACCATCAGAATCCCACTCGTGTAAGGCTGATGTGTCATTCATCTACTGTTTCTTATCCTGGATCAGGGTCTTGAGCTATGAAATGCTCTGACTCATGAATATACAAATAACCTGAGATCCACGGAGGTAATTATGTATATATCTCAGCCCTGAGAGCATCACCCAATAACCACATCCCTGTCCCAGAGAAGCCCCTGAGAGCACAGCTCCTCATTAGGGATCGGACCTGGAGGATCCTCTTTTGGTGGCTGCAGCTACAGGTAAGGGGTTCCCAAGTCCCAGTGATGAGAAGGGGATTGAGTTCAGTCAAGTGGGCTCTCATCCATTCCTGTGTCCTCCCCACAGGTGTCCACTCCCAGGTGCAGCTGGTGCAGTCTGGGGCTGAGGTGAGGAAGCCTGGGTCCTCAGTGAAGGTCTCCTGGAAGGCTTCCAGATACACCTTTACCAGTTATGTTTTGTATTGGGTACGACAGAACTTTGGACAAGGGCTTGAGTGGATGGGATTTTAGTTAATTGAGAGATTTTTCAAATAGCATTTATTCCGTAAGCAAATTTCAGAGATTGTAGAATGAATCAAATTAAGATATCTGATACAGAACTTCCTCTGAATCAATCTTTGTAAACATCAATTTCTGAATCAATGTTGTAAATATTTTGGAACACAAACACAAGTTCACATTTTAACTCTACTTTTATCTCTATTTTAAAAATGCCAAAAACTATCATTTTGTGCACGTAACATTTTGAATTCCTACCATCAATGCATGACATTTCCTGTTTTTCCACATTCATACTGCCATTTATCCTCATGAGATTTGTGAGTTTTAACCATGCTAATAGGTGAGTAATTGTATTTAATTTTTCTTTAAATGCACATGTTCTTAATAAAAAAATCATATTTAACAATTTTTATATAATTTTTGGTGAGATGCCTCTCCCGATATTTGGTTGATTTTTAACTGCATTGTTTTCTTTTGATTAGTTGTAAGTTTACCTGCATATTGATTATAAAAGTCATTTAACAAATTTAAAAAATTGGCTGGGGTGGGTGGCTCACAGCTGTAATCCCAGCACTTTGGGAGGCTGAGATGGGCGGATCACGAGGTTAGGAGATCGAGACCATCCTGGCTAACACAGTGAAACCCTGTCTCTACTAAAAATTTTAAAAAAATCATCCAGGTGTAGTGGCGGGCGCCTGTAGTTCCAGCTACTCCGAAGGCTGAGGCAGGTGAATCGCATGAACCCAGGAGACAGAGCTTGCAGTGAGCTGAGATTGTGCCACCGCACTCCAGCCTAGGCAACTGAGCAAGACTCCATCTCCAAACAAACAAACAAACAAAAAACAAAACAAATGAAAAAGATTGATTTAACAAACATGTGATTTGGAAGTATTTTCTCCCAGTCTGTGGTTGCCTTTTTCTCCCTTATCAGTGGATATTGAAGAAAAATGTTTGTGTGTGTGTGTTTAAACAAATTTAGACCAAAAAAAAATTATTCATTCATAGATCATGTATTTGGCATTATATGTGAAGTCTCACTATAAAATACACTATTAGTGATTTTTTTTCCTGTGTCTCTAATCTCAGGCCACAATCAACTCATTAGTGTTTAGCCTTCACCTATTGATTGGAGGACTATCCTCCCGAGATATTTGGAAGACTTCTGTAAGATGTGTTCTTCTTCCCATTGTTTGTTTATTGAATCATCTATTAATATCCGTATTGGTGTATGGATGTCTATTCCATAGTCTGAAAAAGATCCATGCTACATTATTCATTTTATTGTTCAAATCGTCACAGCTTTATTAGGTGCTGGGCGCTGATTTAGTTTGCATCCTGCATCCTTACAGCACAGCTCATCCTTTTATTTTTGAACACTTCCCTATTTCCTGGATATTATAATAAATTCTAAGCTCATTTTCCATATTACCTTTTTCATACATAGAATTAGCCATTTTTATAAAGAGTGCTTGTTTCTGGTTTTAAATAATAATATTACAATAAAATATTGTGATACCGGGTATGTGTGTTGTTAATGAGGTGTAAGTACTTCTGGGACCTCTCAATGAATTGGCCTAGTAAATGTGCATGTTTATATGAACCCATGTTTATGGACACTTCAAAACTGTTTATGTATCTAATCTTCTGTAACTTGATTACATTAAAAATGAGAAGACACTGGACTCTCCACCCAACTATGCTACCACATGGACCTTTTTAGTCTTCCTTCCTTGACTGTCTATAACCACCCACTGCAAAGTGAGGAACCCCATCCCACCACATGCCATTTTATTACTTAGCTGCACAATTTCAGGACACATGCAGAGCAGCATCAGAAATGTAATGTTGTACCATTGTAGGAAACATGTTTATCTACTAGAATAGAGTGCTTATGTGTGGTTTACAATTAAAACTTACAGAATCTCCTCATTTTCAAAGTTACTTATGTCAGCAACTTCATTTTCCACTTTCTTCTGTGAAGTCATTTCAATTACACGATATCGTTTCATTTGTTTGAAATTCTGTAAAAGCCAAAATTATCGTCAAGTAAACAGGATATTCCAGGAATTTAGAGGGTGGGCGTAAAATAAGTAAAACAGGCTCTGTTTAAGAAGAGTAAGAATATTCTAGTGATAAGCAATGGTTGAGACGTGACACAATTTGTCTAAGCTCATAATTTTGTGATGGGAAATATAAACCTAAATATATACAATTAAAATATATTTAGCAGTTCATTAACCTCTGGATTAAATGCATACTCTATAAAATTATCTAATAATGTATGTGGGACCGTGGGAATGTTATGAGATACATGCAGCAAAGAATGAAGTAATTTTCCTGATTTGCATATATGATGTTTCCATTCAATGAAGACCTTTAATTAAGACAAAATCTATTTTCTATGTGGTCCAGGCTTTTTCTTCCTGATAAGCAAACAACCCAGAACATTCTTTTCTTTCTTTGAGAAAAGTTTTCCCCAAACTTCAGCTCAGTTCACACATACACTGTCCCTGAATGGACATTTACCCTCAGATGGGTACACATACCTGTCAACGTGTGGGCTCTTCTGTCAGAAAAACACACCTTTCCTCATGTGGATTCTTCCCTCAGACAAACCCACATGTCCCCACATGGACTCTTTCCTCAGACCACCACATATATCCTTACATTTACTCTTTCCTCAGAAAACAGACATTTCCTCATGTGGACTCTTGTCTCAGACAAACATGTCTCCATGTGAACTCTTCACTCAGATAAGTACGCACATTTCCACATTGACTGTTTGCTGACACAAGAACATATATCCAATGTTGAATAATTTTGTGGCAAAATGATATCAAGATAATTATAATTATAAAACTCCTTCCAGACAAGATGTAGATACACATTTTATTTTTTTTCATTTTAACTTAACTTTGCCTCATTGTCAGTGGTTTCCAACACTGTTAGTGGTTTTCAACTCTAAATGTGCTGATCACAGACAGATGCCTGTTTTCTCTGGAAATGTATTTCTTATGTTCTTACTTGTCTTATTTGTCGGTAATGTTTGCTGCTATGAAGATACCTGGACAGTGTCCACATTAGAGACTGAGAAAGAGTGATGGGCAGATTAACCCTGTGCATCCAGACCCAAGAATCCTTTGACCCTGCCCTCTCTGAAATGTAGACACAGAGGATGGATGAGCGGTGCTGAGCGGTGCACCCATGACCACAAAAAGAAATACATGGAAATGTGTCCCCTCCCCTCCTTATGAAAGACAACTCATCCCCTGTTCCTTCAGGCCCTGGTGAGGAGCCACTCTATGTCTGTGCCCTTCCTCAGTGTCCTCACCATGGGGTCTGCACTGATCTGGGCTTCCCTTCTAATCACCCTCAATATTAGTGTCCCTTGTGAATCAGGTCCAGCTATGGTTGCTCCACATGGGGCTGTTCTCAGTCTGTTCCTTCTGTGTTTGCAGAAGACCTGTGTGAAGTTCACTGGAGTAGTCTGAGGTGGAAAAATTGTACAGCCCAGCGGTTCACTGAGCCTCTCCTGCAAAGCCTCTGGATTCACCTTCACTGACTGCAGTATCAGCTTGGTCCAGTAGGCTCCACGACCGGAGCTGGTGTGGGTGGCAACAGGGAGAAATTCAAGAGGAAGTTTTTACGTGCACTCTTATGTGCATGATCTCACTGACATCTTTACTTCTTTTATCACGTTTGTTCTGTAAATCACAATGAATGGTGCATTCTTCATCTATTATACATTTGTTAAGTCTTTTTTGGTATCTTTCAAAAAAACTGGTAACTTTATCCTATGTAATACCTGTTAAGTCCTAAAAGTGTTTTTTGATATCTACTTTTTCTGAAATTTACAAGCTACTATAGCTTTCTTTTGGTTCATATTTTCATAATCCATGTTTTCCCATCTTTATCTTTTCTATTTGTGAATATGTAGGATAACTTTCTTGTACAAAGCTAACAGTTGGGTCTTGCTTTTTTTAAGCAACTATAATAAATTCTATTTTAAATGCTCCAATTAAAAGACACAGACTGGCAAACTGGATAAAGAGTCAAGACCCATCAGTCTGCTGTATTCAGGAGACCCATCTCACACGCAGAG